ATGTCTTCACTAGAGCCTAGCAGCCCACCATAGTAAGCCATGAGTATTGCTACACAGATGAAACACAAAACAAAGACATTAAAATAGCCTTTATGACTGTGATAGAGGTCCTAGAGAGGAACTGAATAAACCCCTTAAGGAAAGCTATGAAAACACAAACCATGGAGAGAAAGGAGTAAAACAGACTAAGACCTGAAAATAGAAATAAAATCAATAATGAAAACCCAAACTGAGGGAAATCTGTAAGTGAAAAATATAGGAACTGAAACAGGAGCCTCGAAGGCAAGCCTCACCAACAAAATATAAGAGATGGAAAAGACACTGAAGACATAATAGAAGAAATGGAAACTGTGGTCAAAGAAAATGTTCAATCTAAAATTATCTTGGCAAAACCATTCAGAAAAAAATCTCAGACATTATGAAAAGGCCAAAGTCTAAGAATAATAGGAATAGAGGAAGGTGAAAAACTCAAGTCAAAGGCACAGAAAATATTTTCAACAAAATCATAGAAGGAAACTTCCCTAAAGAAGGAGATGCCTATCAAGGTACAAGAAGCACACAAAACACCAAATGACTGGACAAGAAAAAAGTTCCCCTCGGCACATAATAAGCAAAACGCTCAACATACTGAGCAAAGAAAGAATATTAGAAGCTACAAGAAAAAATAATTAAGTAAAATATTAAGTAGACATAATAAAGTAACAGCTGACTTCTCAAAAGAGACTCTAAAAGTCCAAAGGTCCTGGGCAGTTGTTCTATAGACGCTAGAGTCCACAGTTATCAGCCCAGACCACTGTACCCAGAAAACCTTTCAATCACCATGGGTGGAGAAATAAAGACACTCCATGATCAAAGCCAACTTTAAGCAGTATTTGTCTACAAAGCCAGCCCTACAGAGTGCACTAGGGCAGTGGTTGTCAGCCTGTGGGTCACAGCCCTTCTGGAGGTCAAACAACCTTTTACAGGGGTCCCATATCAGATATCCTTCATATCAACTATTTACATTACAATTTATAACAATAGCAAAATTACAGTTCTGATGTAACAAGAATAATTTTATGGTTGGAGGACACCTCGACATGAAGAACTGTATTAAAGAGCCACAAAATAAGGAAGGTTAAGAACCACTGCCCCAGAAGGAAAACTTAGATTAACCACATCTAAGAAACCATAAGAAATAAATAATGTCAGATGAGCAAATCAAAAGAGGGGACACGCGCGCGCGCACACGCACACACACACACACTACCACCACAACAAAATACAAGGTATCAAAAAACACTATGCTTTGATATATCTTAATATCAATTATCTCAATTCCCAATAAAAGACATAGAACAAACAAAACAAACAAACAAACAAAACACAGGGATAGACATCACCTCAGGGTAAAAAAGTAGAAAAAGATATTCTAAGCAAATGGACCCAAAACAAGCCAAAGCAGTTGTTTTAATAGCTGGAAAAACAGACAAATCACAAGAAATAGAAAGGAACATTGCATACCCATTAAAGGAAACATCCAAGAAGACACTGCAATTCTTAACATCTATGCACCAAACAGGCGTGAACCAAAAGTTTGTGAAAGAAATGCCTCTATAGCTTAAATAATGCATTGCCCCTCACACAGTGAGAGTGGAAGACTTCAATACCCTGCCCTCACCAATAGACTGTTCATCCAGACAAAAGCTAAATGGAGAAATGCTGATGTTAACTGATGTAGCCAAATGCATCTAATAGACATTTACATAACATTTCACCCAAACACAAAACAGTACACCTTCTTCTCAGTAGCTCATAGAGCTTTCTCCAAAACTGACCTTATACTTACACAGAAAACAAGTGTCAACAGATACAAGAAAACTGACATAACACCCTGCATCCTTCTATGACCACCAAAGATTAAAACTGGATATCAACAACAGAAACAACAGAAAGTCAACAAACTTACGGAAACTGAACAACTCAGTATTGAATGAAAAATGTGTCAAGATAAAAATTAAGAAAGGAATGAATGACTTTCTAGAATTGAATGAAAATTAATACACACCATACCCAGATTTACGGGGCACAATGAAGGCACTTCTTAAAGACAAGTTCATAGCATTAAGAAAGTACCAACATTAAAGAAAATAGAGAGGTCTTACACTAGTAACTTTACAGCACATGTGAAAGCTCTAGAACAAAAAGAAATAATACCCCAAAGATGTAGATGACAAGAAAAAAAAAAATCAGAGCTGAAATCAATAAAACAGAAATAAACAAAAATGCAAACAATCAATAAAATAAAAAGTTGGTTTTTGAGAAAATAAGATTGACAAACCTTTAGCCAAATTAACTAAAATATAGGGAGAAAATATTTAAATTAACACAATTAGAAACAAAAACAAATTAGAAACAGCAGACTCCGAGGAAATTCAGAGAATCAAAGACATAGTTTACAAACCACTAAATTGGAAGATCTAAAAGAAATGAGTAATTGTCTTGATACATACCACTTATCAAAATTAAACGGATATCAGATAGCCAATTTAACAGACCTATTACTCCTAGTGATTCAGAAGTCATCATTAAAAGCCTCCCAACCAAACAAAGCCTAGGACCAGATGCTTTTAGTGCAGAATCCTACCAGACTTTCAAAGAAGAGTTAATGACAATTCTTTTCAAATTATTTGAAATATAGAAACAGAAGGGACATTGCCCAGTTTATTTTATGAAGCCACAGTTACCCAAACCACACAAAAACTCAACAAAGAAAGAGAACTACAGACCTATTTCCCTTATGAGCAATCTAAAGATTCAGTGCAATCCCTATCAAAATTCCAACACAGAACTTGAAAGGACAGTTTTTAGCTTCACATAGAAACACACAAACAAACACACACACACACACACACACACACACACAAAGCCAAGATAGCTACAACAAAACTACTGCTGAAGATATCACCATTCCCAATTTCAATTTATACTACACAGCTATGGTAACAACAACAACAGTAATAATAATAATAGTAATAATAATAATAATAATAATAGTAAATCACATGGTACTAGCATAAAAACAGACATATTGATCAATGAAAAAGTTGAAGAGCCAGACATAGATCCACACACATATGGACACATGATTCTTTTTAAAATAAAGAACCCAGAAATACACAATAAAAAAAATACAGCATCTTCAGAAAATGTTACTCTTCAAACTGGATGACTGAATGTAGAAGACTCCAAATGGACCCATATTCATCACCTTGCACAAAACTCAACTCCAAATGGACCAAAGATCTCAACATAAAATCAAATACACTGAACATGACAGAAGAGAAA